CCTGTTAACTGACCTGATGAACCGAGGCATTAACCTGTATTTGTGTGTGTGTGTTTCTGGTACATACAGAGGTATGTGTGTGTGTGTGTGTGTGTGTGTGTGTGTGTGTGTGTGTCTGGTACTGCTGACAGGTTCTGGAGGTGAACAAGCAGTGGGACATTCAGTGGAACTCCATGAAGTCACAGTTTGAGCAGAAGGTACAGTAATGACTTAACGTCTGCAGTGAATGGTGTGGGAAGACCAATCTGATTTGTTTTAGACCCAAAGAAGCCAAAACTGTTTTCATTTAGTAAAGTTTTGTTGTATTTATAAATCTATGAAACGTGTTTTGCTCAGTTTTCGGTTTCATCTCAGATCCACCGAGAAACTCTGTTACCTTTTATGAACCCAAAAACGAGGTTTWTGATCAAACTGAGGATGTTTTTTCTTCTTTTAATTCTAAAAACTAAACTGTTCACACTTTATTTACTTGACACAGAAAATTCTGATGTAAAGATTTAAAATGTTGCTGTAGGCTCTGAGTAAAAATCTGCTCACTTCCACCTTTGTACTCATTTCAGTCTCTAGATGTTTAATAACCCGACGTAACTTTAAATACTTAAATTACTATAACTACTGTTAATTATAAAATGTTTCTGCGCTTTTATTGTGTTTTTTTTTTCCACCACCAAACCGGATCTCAAAATGGGTTAGCAAAACTGAATCCAGTGTTGTAAAACTAAACTTGTCAGATGTTGTTTTGTGCTCTTCAATTCAAATCAGTTGTTTTTAAGCAACCTACGGGGACTTTGGGACTTTGTGCGTTAGTTGGCAGTGAAGCAACATCTCTGCATGTCCTTTTTTAMAAAAAATAAAAAATAAAGTAAAAAGCACATTGTGCTTGTCCAGTGGAAAAGCTGCTATCTTGCAATAACTCGCTATCTGAGCATGCTTACCACAAGGCCTGTCGCACTTCAGCAAGAATTCCCCTCACCTCTCCGGTACCCGCCGACTTCCTGCTGTGGTGCAGTCAGAGGGCAGCAAAAACACACATGCACACACTCGTACTCACACACCTGCATTTGTGCGCACCCACAATTATGAACATGCCGACATTCACACTTTGTCGAGATGGGGACACCATGCAGGCTTGGGTTTTACACCACAGAAGCCTAGATATATCCATTTGCGTCACTCGGTTCGTTCATATTTTGCAGGAAAAAAAACAACAACAACAAAAAAAAAAAAACCTGCGCGCTCGCAAATGAGTTCTCATAACTTGGATTTAGAATTTGATAACGTTTGTTTTTAATACAGCGTTTCAACACAGGCACCACCTGCAGGTTTTTATCTTCATCTGATGGTTTTTATCTTTAAATCTCAGGCCTCCAAAACCCCCCACACTCTTTGTGCTTTTCATCTGTGGCTCGTGCATTCAGTGCGTAGTTCTCAGCCATGTGTTTTACATGTTTTTTTCCTTTTAAAGATCACAGACCTCCGGCAGCGACTGGCCGACTCCCAGAAAACTGTGCAGGAACTGGAGGCCGAGCGAGAGCAGAGGCAACGCGACTACGACAAGAAGCTGCTGCTGGCCAAGTCCAAAATTGAAAATGTACAGGTGAGAGTCCATAAAAGCCTCTGGAAAGGACCTGATAAAACTCTAACACCGTTACAAAGAATGAAAGGACAGCTCGGGAAAAGAAAGTTTAATGAAACTTTTGGAAAGGAATTGGTTACACTCAATGCACACATTGCACAACATATTTTCTTAAAAAGTAGGCGTTAACTGTTAGTATTAATCCCTGTTTGTTAGCAAAATATTTTAGTGAAATTCCCAGAAAGTAATAATTGAATGCACAATCCAGATTCTTAAAAAAACTGACATGTTGTGTAAAATCTAAATATAAACAGAATTAAATCTAAAAAAAACGGACAGCAGTAAACATTGAATGTTGAAACAGAGAAATTGCACCTTTTTTTTAAGATAAAGTTATAAAAAAGTGGGTGCAGGGYCAATAAATGACCAGAAGTAAATAGTTTGAATATGAAACAGCTGAAGGAGAACTTTGTTATAAAAAGCCTTCTGGAAGGACCGATGAGCAGAACTGTCTCTGAAAACAGTGGAACAACAAAGACTCTTCATCTACAGTTCATAATTTCATCAAAGGATTTCAGCACCGGAGACACGTCTGAGCTCAAAGAACAAGGCTGGACGTCGATACTGGATGTGATCTTTAGACCCTGGTGGTCTGCTGTTAAAAACAAACTGACTCTGTGATAGACGTCATTGCGTCGGGCTCAGGAACACTCTGGAAACACAGCTCAGTCTTCGAGCTCTACCCTGCGAAGAGGAAAACCCTCCATCTTTTGTGGGCCAAAGCTCATTTAAACTGAGGCGAAGAGGAAATCTGTTCAGTGATTGGATAAAGTTTGAAATTGGATTTTGAAGAATTTAAAAGTTTGATTTTTTTTTTCGGAAGACACAAAAATTTCGTCCTCCATACTAAAAAATTATTGAGGCCATCAGGAAAAAACAACATTCATATTAGGTTGCTTTCAGGCACAGGCCTAGTTTGCAAAAGAGATCTGTAACCCTAATGGGGGTTTTCCTGGTTAAATAAAGGTTAATGAATGAAGTGCACTGTTCAAAAGCCTCTCTCTCTGATGGTATAGGGGTGCAATAGTGCCTYTGGTGTGCACAGCTTACACATCTGAAAAGACACTATAAATACTGAGAAGTTTATACAGTTTTTAAAAACTATATATGCTCCCATCCAGATGACATCTGTTTCTGAGGTTTTGCATATTTAAGTAAGACGATGTTAAAGCACGTACTGCATCGGTTACCACAACATGGTTTCAGGTGCTGAACCGAGTCCAGACATCGCATCAGCAGAAAAAATTTGGTGCATCATAAAACTATAACTCCGGTAAATGAGAGCCAGGACTTTTGAAGATCTAGAATCCTACYTCAGACAAGAATGGATSGTTTTTGTCCAAAACCTTCAACTCTCKGTTCCCAGATGTTTCCAGACTGATGTTAAAAGAAGAGAGGATCYTTCATGTGACCTGGACCAGGATTTTTGTAGGATGAGTTACTGCCAGAAAATTTTAACTGACTTAAAAAAAAGTAATAATAGCTTTTGAGAATTACGTTTGTTTAAAATCTTTTGTTTTGACTTCTTGTAACAACTTTTTGATTCAACATAAAAATGGTCAAACTTKACGTGCAAGCAGATCATTTGAGATTTTGCACAAGATAATGTGATTTACAAGGTTTGACTAAAACAGCTGTAGCTCCGTCGTTTCTCATCATAAGATAGTCTTGGTTTAAAACAACAACAAAAAGTCTTTTAATTATTGTTTTGACTTCAGGGGGAGAAGGAGTGTTTAAACTCTGAGACCACAGAGCTGAAGCAGAAGATTCGCTACCTGCAGGATCAACTGCTGCCGCTCAGCAAGCAGAGGGAGTACCAGGAGAAGGAGATCCAACGCCTGAACAGGGTAAGCATGAAACGCTGCAACAACAACAAAAGAAACCATCAAACTCAGACACCTTTCCAGTCCGCTTAATGTCTGCGTTGTGTCCATCTCCAGGCCTTAGAAGAAGCCTTAAACAAGCTCTCCCAACAACCTCCTGGTCAGGGCAACTTTGCAGACGCAGCCAACGACCTGAAGAAGCAGGAGCTCCTCACACAAATCGCTGTACTAAAAGAGCAGGCAAGACCCGGGGACGGAACACGTGCACCATTTTGGTTTATTCAGACTGGTTTAAATGATTTTTTTTTTGTTACTCCAGGTGAAAATCTTTGAGGAGGACTTCAGAAAAGAACGGAGCGACCGGGAGCGAATGAATGAGGAGAAAGAAGATTTGAGGCGACAAGTTGAAAGYCTCCAGGGTCAGATTACTAATTTAACAAATCAGGTAGATTATTTTATTTATTTTACATCATCAGGAAGGTTTCAGGTTCTGTATACATCAGTTTAAATCTCCTTTTCTTGTTTTGTTTTTTCCCTGGTTCAGCTTCATCAGGCTCAGAATGAGTGTCAGAGAGAACGCACAGAGAGATATAAGGTGGAGAGACAGCAGATGCAGCATCATAAACAGGTAATGGCTGCAGCTCGGGTCAGCCTGATCACAAATTCTTTCAATTCTTTATTCATTTCATTAAGACAAAACAAATAATTTTATATACAATAAAAAGAAAAATATAGAAAAAAAATATGTATATCAAAATCACAAATTAAATGAAATGAAAGGCAGCAGAGAGAAGAAAAAAATCATATCTGCCCCTTTTTTCTAGAATAAGTTCATATAACAAAAAAAAATCTGTTATTAACAAAATTAAATGCATTTGTAATAAAACGGGTGCACCAGGCTGGCTGAGGTGAGGAAAGTTGGGTCGTTTTTTGCTCYTTAGTTCAAGTAACATTTAATCAGAAGTGAGGCGTTAAAGACAAGTGAAAACCTGGGAGATTAGTGCCCCCTTGTGGCAGAACTGAATTTATGGAAGTTAAAATATCACTTGATCTCTTATACTGTAATACAATGTTCACTAATGTAAATTTAAGATTGAAACTGTGAAATAACTGAGAAATCACCCTTTGTGACCAGAAATATATTCAGAAACTTGTATTTCCTGATTAAGAAGCTTTGTAGTTACAGTAAATAAAAACAGGAAATGAGTTTTGCATCATGTTTCCATTAAATGATGCAAAAGAGCACAGAGCCAGCAGCGGAAATACTGTTATTGTGTATGAGAGGAGATTTGGGTTTTAAGTTAGCTGAGTCAGCAGGTAGAGCCTCCACACTCCTCCTCAGGATGCAGCAGAAGGTCTGCGGTGGCCCACGCCACGACTGGACCACAGCTGTGTACGGATTGGGGATCGTATATGTACTTGTGATACCTCTTAGGGCCAGCAGCAGGAAAGACGTACATCAGGCCCCACGTCAGGCTCAGTGAACAGCCCACTGAGCCCCCCTACTTTGGTCCCTTTGTGCAGGTGGGAACCCAGGGCCTTGAAGGCTGGCCCGTTAATTTACCTCCCCGGATGCCCAATGCAGCCGGCGCCACAGCAGCAGCAGCAGCAGCAGCAGCAGCAGCAGCAGCAGCGCCGCCCCCTGCTCGAGACTTCCAGCCTGGTAACTCTGTAAGTGCGCTCTCAATCCTCCGCCTCTTCTTTCTTTCTTTTCCTCCCTGGAGCTGGACAGAAGTCGTCATTAGAACACAGCTGAGATGTGACGACTGCTGCTCATAATATGGGTTTGTTTATTAGTGCGTTTTCTTTGATCAGGGATTTCCCTGGCAGATGTCATTCCCTCAACGAGGGGCCAGAGCAGTAGGAGAAAGTTCAAGACCCCCACCAGAGAACGCAGGTAAGGTGCAGCCTTGAAYATCAAAAGATGTCATGTTTTTCTTTAGGGTCCCTGATTGAAGATAATAAAAAAGGGTATTTTTGTTCCTGCTCGTCTCTTCAGATTCGTCGGCAGCAGCCACAGCAACAGGGTTCGGAAAAAGGGAGAGACAGAACATAGACCCCGGAAAGCACTAAAGCATCACCCCCTGCCTCCCCCTCCTAAATCCCCCACCCCCAAACGGAGTCTGGGTAGTAGCATGAAATTGTTTTTAAGTTGGCAAGGTGTGATTGAGATATAATTTTCCTACTGAACTGTAGATATCCTATTGTATTGTTGTTTATACTTGCGTTTTATAAGGCTATTTGTGAAACACTTCGCTATTCTGATTATATATATATACATTCGATTTTTTTATCAGGAACTTTGGTCATTTGTTAAATGGGTTGGAATAATTAATGCTTTTTTGTTTTGTTCGTTTTTTTTTCTTCCATAAAATCTACCAATGTAATTGTCTCTCTGCAAGTATGTACCAACTTAATACTTAACTTTGTGACTTGTAGAGTTACAGAAAGCCATTCCCCAATACGACCCAAGACYACGCGCGCTCATTCCAGCAATGAATGATTTATTTTAGGTACACCGAAGCGTAGAATTTAACAATGTGAACGTTGATTGATTTGAGGATTTCTACGGTGCCATTGATGTTATAGAGCTGTCTAATATGTGTAACTGTTCAAAAGTGGTTGTTGAAATACAAAAACCTGGGGAAATGAATTTTGATGATATCGTACCAAAAAAAAACCTGATTGTGATTACTAATAATTTATTTATAACCTGCTGTTTTGATAGTTGCATTGACTAAGTGTAAATCATTGTCTTTAGTAATGCTGTTCTTTCTATATTGTTAGTGTAATCCCAATATATTGTAGCTCTTGACATTGTATGTTTGTATCAGACACAATGCACAGCACATACAGCCTTTTTCTTTTGCCCCATGATGATGGACCTAATCTCATTATACAACACTTCTGCTTGGTTTGACCACAGCTTTGATAGTTTTTTTTCTCCCCCCATTCATCTTCCTGCATCCTGTATTCATTTATAATGAGGTTCCAGCACCAATATCAGAAGGCAGCAGTTGGGACTTTTTTTATCAGATGCGTCAGGTTTAAACTTGCTGACTGTGTTACAGCTGCTCCTCAGAGGGGGAAACCTSTACAGGAATGTCCGGCTTCAAACGCCGCAACTCAAAAATCAGATTGAAGACTTGCTTGTTTTTAACCCTAACTCCCAGTTTTGAGTTTCTGTATTTCAAATAGACGAAGGGCTTTAAAAAAAGTGTGAATAGGACTTTTGGAAGAAAAAAAAAACTAATGAATTTAAAAAATGGGAGAAAAATAAACCCTTGATTGGTGAGGGCTGAGATGAGACATGAGCAGAGTTGCACTTTGAAGGTATGCTGTAATTTCTGGCAGTTGTATTTTCCTGGTTTATAGCCTTTTTTTTTTGGTTTGTTTTGCTGTAGGCAAAAAGCACATGTAAGACTTTTTGTATTTGACTGGCTTAATAAATATATTCTAAATGTCTTATGTTGTCCTCATTAGATGCGCGGTGTTCATGTCGGGTCTTAAAGTCTAAAAAAAAGTCTAAAATTGGAAAATCTAAGTTTTAGGCCTAAAAAAAACGTCTTTAAAATACCTAGATTTTCATCCAAGGTCTTAAAATTAAATTTTGGCGTCTTAATTTTTTCTACTTTTGATCAGTCCTGAGAACAGTTGGCTGCATAAAAGAAAATTAAGAGTCTTAATCAGAGGTTGACACGATCTGTCTTCATGAAGTGATGAGTTTGCTACTGGTCATGATTAAACTACAAATCCCACGATAACTGCAGGCAAAACTGTCAGTTTACTTCCATGTTTTTGACCTGACGCTACAACCCCCCCCCCCCACACACACATACAGTGGCTTATTTACCTGCTCAAAAACAAGTTGTCATGTCCACTGCTTGTTCTTTAAACATGGGAAAGTGTATTTTCAATAAGTCTTGACTTGATATCAGTGATATTTTTCACTTGGTTGAAAGCGGTTCACAGCAGTCAGATATGACCGTTTCATTCAAATAATTTAGTGGTCTTATATTGAAATTAAATATTCTTTAATAACTAAATTGATAGCAATAAAAGCTTTCAATATTAAAATTTCTGGGACCATTTGAATGTTTCTATTAATGCGTTGATTTGGTCTTAAAATGTCTTAAATTTAACTTAATGAAACCTGCATGAACCCTGGATGCAGGGTTAGAATCTCATACCAGAATGCATCAGCATTTATTTCTAAAAACATTTTTTGTTAAACTGTCAAACGTTTCTCACAGAACAGGCTCATCAGTGCAGCTTTCATTATGATTTAATGAAGGTAAAAGTGTAATGTCAACAGGTCCTGGACTGAGAAGCTGGCATGRTGTGGGACAGCAGGACGAACCAGAATGCACTGAAAGGTTCGCCTGAAGCCCAGACTCCAAGGAGGCACCACAGATTCTGTTTTCAAGCCTCCTCTTCATTTACCGTGCCATCTTTGCGTCGCAGGAACTGTCACATTACTTCTCTAAATGCGCACACACCGTTACTTCATTACACAATATTAATAATCACGTTTAAAGACAGACTGGGTGAAGAGTTGTCGAAGGTATTTGAGGATGTCGGCTCGGACTTCAGATACGTCGACAAGCGGGTGCCACCTCATCACCGGCTTCCCATCAGGTCCCACCAAAAACTTCTCAAAGTTCCACTTGATGTCGCTGATCTTCAGAGGCTCCCAGAACAACCTGCCGTTGACGACGCCAAACTCGTCCCCCACAGGAGGGCAGYAATTCTGACAGCAGAGAGCACAAACTAAATACATGAAATCATTTTTTTTAAAGTTCACAAAACCTTTAAATAAGTAGCTGTTTGGAGAATATGCAGTTTTTAGGGTGGCTGTTAATAACAGCTTAAATAACAAGCATTTGAAATTTAACCTTGCAGTTAACTCTTTATTAAATGTTGCAATCAAAACCCTACAGAGTTCAGATTTATTTTCCTGAGCTTCTACAGATGTTTGAATCTTACCTTTTGTACGGCTCTAAAACTGTTTGGAGAACTAGTTTATTTCTGACCAGACAGGCTAATTACTAGTCTGAAGTTGCAAATGTGACTGCTGCCATCAGTGCTTTTGTATGTTTAAGTCAGAATATTTGAAAGAGTCAATAGGAAAGCCCCCTCCCCCCAAAAAAGACAAATTCTAAATAAAAACGATAATTTAAAAACCAATGAACTCCTACATGAATGAACCCTTTCCACTTCTGTCTGTCTCTCAGTAACAGTATGGTGCGATCACCGTCAGTGAACATGTTYCTACAGTGTCTGAATGTATAACAACCATTGTTATTAACTTGTATAGTTAATGGTAGTTGGCCTGGTTAAGGGTTGGACACTAGTTTTTTTTTTAACAATTCCAGTTCAGATTCTGGTTCCCAACAATTCCTGATTCTGTTTAGAGGCGAGGTAAAAGAAAAAAGAAAAAAAAAGTTTACATGGTAGCTAACCAGAGTTCTTTCTGGATAAAATAGTCAGAGTTGTAATTYTATGAACTTTTACTTTTTGAACTTCACTAATTCCTCACAAGGCTATCAACCACTATACTGTATAAAATATGAAGCGTATGAACTTGAATATAAATGTTATGAATTTACCTTTTATAGGGGTAAACTGAACTGTCTTACTGCGCTGGTAGATTTCACTTAGTTTAAGATTCAGACTAATTAAATTAAATAATCTGACAGTGCAGTAAGACAATTGCACTTGATAGTAAAAATATCTAGCCTAACAAGAAGAATCTAACATTCTGCACTTATCAGTCTCAAAACAAGATCAAAAATACTTTTGGTTGGATATAAGACTTGGTTAGATGGWCAATTTTTGCAGTGTATAAACTTTTACAAGATGGCTTTATTTAAAAAACACTTCATGAAAACACAATGACACCTATCCAGCATCTGATTGAGCAGGAACTCAAACATGTTACAGTTTAAGATCTTAACCTGCCAGCTGCCTCATTGCTGGAATTAAACATATTTGATTTTTTCATAAGGCCCTGATGTTTTAGACAACTTATGAAACATTTGGAGACCTCTACATTGAAGACGGAGTTAAAAATAAATAAATAAAAAAGGGAAGCCTCTTTTAGGGATATACATATGGCAATGCTAACAAATTGATCAAATACGTAAGTTATTAGTAATTTAGAGGAATTATTTTTCATAACTTGACGTTACAGTGTGACAGGGACTTCACTGAGTGTCAGTGAAGGCTTACGCAGCGCATCCAGTGTTTACTCCTTTTCTCTATATGATCTTATTTTTATTAAAAGTTAAGCCACACTTTGCACACTGTCCATTTATGCACACTACCTGCGGATAGTCTGTTGGTCTTATAGCGGCTCACCTGCAGRTTTTGTTCAAAGGCTACTTCTTRCAGTCGGTGGACTGGGTATGAAAACTAAGAACTGAAATTGTAAATGACGTGGATAGGTCATTGGTGTGAACGAGCTATATCCACTCTGAAGATTAATCTCGGACAATATCTGATGATCGAGTCTTTTAAATGAAACCAGAGAGCGTTGACAGAGAGGAGAAGGTAGAAATGACTCAGCCTGGAACTGAAAATGTGGATGGAGGACAACAGAGCTGCTTCATGGAAGAAGAACCTCAGCTTAGCCCGTTAGCTTTAGCGCTGACGCTATATTGCCTTATATGTATTAGCTCGGTGCTAGTGCGACAAACAAGCTAAACTGAGGTCCTCCATCCATAGTTTCAGTTACAGACTGAGTCATTTCTACCTTCTCCTCTCTGTCAACGCTCTCTGGTTTCATTTAAAAGAGTCGATCATCAGATATTGTCCAAGATTAACCTTCAGGGTGGATATAGCTCGCTAGCAGCCTTGCACCGATGACCTATCCACGTCATCATTTACCCAGAATGCTTTGCATGTAAATAAAATGGCTCTGTCCGTATATTTTTAAACTTTTAGTTTAAAAATTATAAAAACTTAGCCTACAGTGTTTTTACAGTCTTTATTTTACAGTTAAAATATGTTTATTGAATAAAGTCGAATGTTACAACTAATCATGGACCCCTTTAACATTTGAATGATTCTGGAAATTGACGTGTTAATTTTATCCGTATTCAGAGCCCAACCCTACTGTTTCCTGAGCACACAATCAGCTAACTACAGATTTTTCTGACTTGGTTCTGGTACACAGTTAAATCAGGTCTGAAACAAGTCTAGATCATTCACAGTTCTGCAACAGGTATGACCACCATTTGTTTTCCACAGAATCCCACTTAAAAAAAAAAAAAACGAGCAGAACTACAGAGATTTACTTACTTTAAGGAACGTGAAAACTTGTTGCTCAGCTTCTCCGTTCACATCTCCTTTCTCAAACAGCAGGAAGTTTGGAACAAAGCCATTGCCTGGTCTGACGTACCTGAGATCCAGAGACAGTATCTCATGAGTGGACATGCCTTAGAGACACTTTATCCTGGAGTTAATCTGAACACCACAGGATGGGGTTACAAAGCCTCTGCTTTGGATTCTGTGGAACTGATGGAGCTGAAGTTAAATCCTTAGTCGACAACAATGAGTGTACTGTACTGCCAAAAATCAACTTTGATTAAATGAAGCTTTGTTGACTGACAAGACACACCAAACCATACCATACTGGAATGTGCTCAGGTCACAAGGAATATAATTATTATGACCCCCGCACGCGAAGCACAAGTCATATTGTTTTCGTAGTTTATTTTTTCAGTGATATTTGGTCAACCGTACCACAAAAACAGCTGCACCGATCAACATGAAATTTGGCAGGACTGTAGATGAGTCTGACCTACACTGCACCAGCCAACGGTTTTATGATAGACCCCATATTTTGAGGAGGGGGCTCCTTTCAAAGAGGGGGTGTCAGGACATGCAAAAAATGCTTATAACTCAGAAACTGTTRYACATAGAAGCTTCAGATTTCTTTTGTTGTTTAGCTCTGATGAAGCTCTACCCATCAGGACCACCAATCAGTGACCCCCACTCACCGGACCCCCAATTTATCTGAAAAAGGGGTATCTGGACATACAAAAATGGTTATAGCTCAAAAACAAACACAGGAGCTTCAGATTTCTTTGGTTGTTTAGCTCTGCTAAGGGACTAAACATCAGGTCCAACGCCCACCCAAAAACAAACAAACAAACAAAAAAGACCACCACCCAAACCACTACAATTTTGGGATGCACCTAGTAGCATGACGTTTATTTGGAATAAAGACTTCAGAGATCTGGTGCATTTGTGCGTGCGGGGGTCACTATGTTACCGCTGGTATCTAGTTTTAAAACAGAGGGTTGTGTTGCTTACAGGAGCTGAGATTTAGAAAAACAAGACTTTCACCTGATAGTGTTTGTGTAACTTTAAGTTCAGCGTCATTTAATCTTTTTCTCAGTGTTCCTGTTCATGCCCGACTCGTGCTAGAAGTTTAAAGGGTTCTTACTTCAACCCTGGCAGGATTTCATGTCCCTGCCCCGGCTCCTGTTTGCCGAACTGGTTGCAGGGAAAGCCGAGGATAGTGAAGCCATGATGTTTCAACTCTTCGTGCAGTGCATTCAGTTCTAGGAAGATGAACAGAACACGGGCTTAAGGTAGTAAAGTCACATTTGCACCATGAAATAAAGACAGCATCGCTCCTTACCCACYTACTGATAGGTCAACCCTCAGTACGTAGCAACGTTGACGAAGAGGACGGTTTTTCCAGCGTAGTCGGTGAAGTTCATTAAGCGACTAGAGTTTAGAGTCTTTGCGTAATATTTGTAGATGGAGCCATCAGTGGATGAGTCACACAGCTGAGAGAGGTGGGACACAAAACACAAAGTAAGAGATTGGGCCTCATGCAAGAACCGTTCGTACGCACAGATTTGTTCTTAAAGTGTCCGTACG